GTGATAACCAGAAAGAAGGATTAGGAGAAAAATCTGGATAATTGGCAAAAATAGGATTATTCTCTTTTTGAATTACAACAAATTTATTGAACTCTACTATATGCACGTCTGCTTGCTACACGCTCAAGGAGTTCAGAGTCTAGTAGTAGAAACTATCTTGTAACATAGGTATTTGTTAAGGGCAATAGTGCACACATGTATAGATTAACATGGAAATATCCACCTCGAGGGGATCTGAGCTGAGCATTTCCTGTGCTACCCAAACAATGGGCGAGATCGGCAAGATGATTATTCAGACAGAGAGTCAGCCTGCTTCCTTCTAACATCACAACCCTGCCACCTGCCCCAGGTGTTCTTACTCGCTACCCAAACAATGGGCGAGATCGGCAAGATGATTATTCAGACAGAGAGTCAGCCTGCTTCCGTCTAACATCACAACCCTGCCACCTGCCCCAGGTGTTCTTACTCGTTCCTCTCTCCTCCCTGTTATGGGCTAGATGAATGAATGTTAAATAAACAAGCATCATGTTTCCTCTGTAATCCCCACAATAGCCAACACAGTGCTGGGCAAATAGGTATTCATTAAAATCAAAGTTGAATTGTGTCCTAACTTGATATCAGAGTTCTGGAGTTACCACATTCATTCAACAGTCAAAAAATATTTGTTTAGCACCTACGGTGTGCCAGGTGCTGGCTGTGTACTGATGAGCAATAGGGGTGGTGGCCCTGCCTTCGTGGGGCTGCCAGTCTAGAAGAGACAGGCAGTGAGCACGTAAACTCACCTGTATACAGTTCCAGGGTGTGGGGAAATCCACGAAAGAACAAAACCTGGCTTGTAATAGGGACAAACAGGGAGGGTCTTCTTTAGAGAAAGGTCAGGGAAGGCCTTTTGAGCAGGTCACATACAAGCTGAGATGGGAAGTTTGTGAAGCAGCCAACCAAGGAAAGAGCATGGGAAGGAGCTTCTAAGCAGAGGGAATAAAATACCAAAGAATGAAGGGAGGTAAGAGCTTGGTGTGCTCCAGACACTGGAGGAGCAGAGTGGCTGGAGCAGAGTGAACTAACTCTGATGGCCTGGGGTGGACATGGGCAGAGCGTGGCAGGTAGGGGATGGCCATCCCAGGCCTTATAAATTCTGTTCAAGGTATTGGGTCTTCTTCTAAGTGAGATGGGAAGACATGAAAGATCTTTTAGCAGGGGAGTTAAATCATACCACTGATGATTTTTAAGAGCTCACTCTGACCGGTCTGTAGAGAAGAGAGTGCAGGGGTAAGGGGTGCTTCATGCAAATAGGTGGAAGACCAGGATAAGGATGGTGGTGGCTTGGACCATGGTGGCGGTGACAGAGAGAATGGATGGACCAGAGATGTATTTGGGGAGTGCAGTTGTCTACAGTACTAGGTGATGTGCTGAGCAGTGGGACAGCAGGAGTCTGGGATGACAGCCACGTTTCTGGCAGGAGCATCTGGGGGTGAGAGGCCCCTACCGAGGTCATGAGACTAGAGAGAAACATGTTCTTGGGGTGGGGTGGGGTGGGGCAGGTTGGAGGGAATCTCTGTTCCTTTGGACACTCGGTCCTAGCTAACCCCATGACAGCTGGATCGCAGGGCTACTGGGTGTCTGGGAGTAAAGCGTGAGATGCCATTTCTGCCAATACCCTTTCCCCTATCCTTGTTGGACCTGACAGACAAGTAGGAAAATATGTCCAATAGTTGCCCCTCTTAGGCAGTGCCCCTCTTTCCCACTTAAAAAAACTGCCCACAGAATCCATGGGCTTTTCTGATAGCCTCAGAACAAAAAGAAAGTTTGTGCCTCCACAATTCAGCATTAGGTGAAAAACGTAGGTTTGGAGGTCAACCTGAAATTCAAATCCTACCTGTGCTAGTTACTAGTGAAATGGCTTTAGGAAAGTTACTGACCTCTTTGAGTCTATTTCCTCATTTGTAGAGTGGGGACAAAACCCCTTATGATATGGTGAAGGTTAAATGAGAGAGTGCATGTGGAGACGTTGCCCCGCATGTAACAGTGATAACAGAGATAACATCCTGGAGACATTTGTTGGTGTATTCCGTTCCTGGTAATGCCCATCTGGACAACTCATGACATCAAATAGATTCCATGGTGTACAAGAGAAACTCTTCCACCATTAAAACACAGCTGTGGGGCATAGAGACCCTGGGATTAAGAACAACATGACACAAACAAGGTCCTTGATAGACAGGATGAAGAGGTGGAAAGATGGATATTTTTGGACCCTGGGAAGGAGATGGGGAGACAGATAGTCGGATCAGAAGTGTGCATCTTTGCTTTCACCTCTTAGAGTAGAACATCTATCCAGGAATGGGGAGGCTGGTGACATGGACGGGTAGGCTTCCCAGGACATGACTGGTGGGAGACTGTAAACCTAGGAGGGGCTCTGACTTCACCCACATCTAACAGGACAGTAAGTGATCGTGGGGATGCCTGTAGGGAGGAGATGAGTTGAGACAGTGTCGCATGACTTGCAGGGACTTTAACTGTTCCCCAGGGCCTGTGGGGGGCTGCAGCCAGCTTGTTCCAGCTCATGAGAGCCAACTGTGGTCATCTCTTTCCAATCCCATGTTTATTGGCATCATTTTGGTAGCTTGAAATTGATCATGGTAGGATTTACACCACGGGGAGCGGCAAATGGAACAATCAGGCCTTCTCCCCACTCCACTCCTCCCTGCCCTAAGCACCTGTCGTTAAATGTTTGCCCGTTCCCCACTGCCCATGGCGTAGAGCTGCTACAGGGCCATCGGCTGGGATTAGGGCCTCAGCAGAATATGTCAGCATGACCTGCCATAGGCCAGATGGGATCAGTCACACCTCAGAGGCCACTAGTCAGCTTCTGGTGAGACCCAGAGGACTGTGGGACCCGAAGTCCCTGATGAGTCTGAGGTCCCTTCTCCCATACCAAAATGAGGTCAAGTAAGTACCTTACAACATGAAATTCCACCTTGAAAGAGCAGGAGGAGAAAAGGCCATCTCAAGGCTGTGTGTTTTCCTGAGAGACCAGGTTGGCTAAATGAGACTCTTATACCTGACCACATTGATATGCCATAACAGACAAGTTCGAATTTAAAATTCTCTATTTCCCTCTTTGCTGCTTGGTGGGATGGGGAATTTCTAAGAAAGATTTCATAGGAAATAAAAAAAGCTGTATTTTCTTTGATCATTTAGCATAGTGTGTAAATCTGCAATCTGGCTATGTAATGACTGGTGGCTATCTACTATCAAAAAATGCGTGTGAGAAACGTGAAGAGTTCCTCAGCACTGGACTCAGCCAGATGCACATCTGGTGGCTCGTGCTTGTGTCTTCAGACCCGATCTGCAATCTGGCTATGTAATGACTGGTGGCTATCTACTATCAAAAAATGCGTGTGAGAAATGTGAAGAGTTCCTCAGCATTGGACTCAGCCAGATGCACATCTGGTGGCTCGTGCTTGTGTCTTCAGACCCATTTGTTGATTTGTTCCTTCAGGCAGGTGGCAGCCCGGAGGGACCACAGCAGCTCAGGATGCAGGTACTGACCAGAGGAGGACTCGCCCGCAATGGTGGGCTGACCCTGGACTTCAAGGGCATGGTCTACATGGCAGAGACAAATGGATCCTGACTGGCAGAGAGTGCTTTGAGGAGGATGAAATATTAGAGTAGTGGGATCTCTTTAGCCAGATGCCATTCTGCAGACTTTGAGCCCCAAACCTAGCAGCTTCCACTTGTCAGGATCCTTGGCATCTGGAATGCATGGACTTCCACTCCACCAGGCAGCAAAAAGGGAAAAGGGAAAATCAAACCTTGGATTTGAGCTTGTTCGTTACAGCATATCTGTCTCTTCAGGTTTAAAGATCAGTCTCCAGGGGCATCAGAAACGCTTCTTACTGTGTGGACATGGTGGCAGGGAAATCTTGAAGAACGCGGGTGAGAAGGGCAAAGGGTTGGATATTTAAAGAAGCAACATCGACAGAGTCAGTTTGCATGTCTCCTTCTCTGTCTCTTCCCCTCCAGTGAAGGCAGGGCTGGCTACTGACGCTGCTTTTCCAGGTAAGGAGCCAAGCAAGAGCCTCTTTTCGTCTCCAGACCTTCAGCTGGGCGCTCATCACGCCCCCTTCCGGAGCCCCTGTGGAATGACTGCCTGCTCTCCAGGAGGCTTTACCATCTCATTAGCAGATCTGTACTCACTGTTCCTTCTTCCCCATCTCTCTTAAATAGCTTTAAAAAAACATGGTATTCTTAGCCGAAGCTAGGCTATAAGAAAACATCTTTCCCTCCCACCCCTCCTCCCATGCACTGAATCCTACCAATTTCCTTCCATCTTCAGTGCAGTATGGAAAACCCAGGGGCCCAGATCTGAAACCCCCACACCTTCCACTCTTCCTTCCCACCCCCTCCCGACCTCAGATAAGTCCCCTCCAGGCCCCCTGCCTTGGGTGGCGAAGGTCTGACAGCGGCTCTGAAAGGGGTTGCCCATGTTCTGTTGCTGTATCTGGCTCTGTTAAGGTCCTCCCCTCCTCTCTTGACTTCTGCAATGTAGGCCCTTTCAGAGGAAAAAAAAAACAAGTTCTGAGAAGCCTGAAGCTCCAA